GCACAAGCAGTGCAAAATGCAATACATAATATCAATATCATGGAGGACATCTTTAAGAGGACATTTTAGGAAGAATTCCTAAAGAAGAACATCTTTGATTAGAATTATTCAGCTAAGAAAAACTTCTTTGTTCTCCGGAGTACTCAACCGAGCATGCTTTGAAACTTTATCTCTCGTCTGCAGTGTTTTATTTCTCTCTCTAAACTTTCTCGCGCCGATTGTCGGAGCAGGCACTCCGACACTCAGCACTCTAATCAATACGCAGGCTCAAAAGTCTTGGCTTAGTTATCTGCTTAACCTGCACTGAAGAAACAGAGAAGAGGTGGGGCTGCCTGAGCAGTGGCTCTTCTCTTCCTGTTCACCAGTACCTGTGAGAAAGTTTGCCTGCACCACATGATGTGGTACCAGTGTTGCAGGATGGCTGTCCAGGCTCTGTAACTACTAGTATTGTTAACAACTTGAACATTTTCCTCTTTTAAAGAAAGGCCCTTTGATATTATATTAGGAAGATAATCCAGCTTGAGGGATTGTCTGATATTATCTTTGAAGGACAGACATAGACTGAAGATAAAACACCTTTTTGAGTGCCACATAACTTTCCTAACTACTTCTCCTCTGAGATGGATAAGTCAAGTGGTGTTCATCCCTAAGTCAAAGAGAATTAGGTTCTCTCAGCTCCAATGATTCTCTCCCAATTCTACCTGCTCATCAGCTAGGAAGAGCAAAGAATTTGTATTTACTTAAGCACTGTAATGAGCTACAAGCAACATGGTTTGTTTTGATTTGGCTGTGATTGGTTCTGGACACTGGAGGCTAACGATTGCTTCTGGATGCTCTGAAGATAGTTGTTCTGCTGAAGCAGCAACAAATGTGAAGTTGTTGTCTTGCCTCTGGATAGAGCGACACACTCGAGTTGACCTTGAAGAACATTTGTTGCTGGAAGCATTTGACTTCTTGCCACACTGAAGAAGAGCACAAAAGCACCTGTGAAACTAACACATAAATATAGATATTAATTATCAATCTGTAATGTGGCTGTTTTATTACCCGTTGCATTGAGTAATGTTGCTCTTTTGTGGCATTCAGATAGAGCCAAATCACAGTATTCAGAACAGCACATTTTGAAGTTTAGGTGCTCATCATGGAAGTCCCATGATAGTGCCTGCAAAGAAAGTCCAAACATTCAGGAGATCAAACCAGTTCCAGAGGTTTTCTTCTCTGGAAGGAGCAGATCTTTTGTAAAGTTGCTAGAGCTTAACTGTCCAGCCAAAATGAAACTTCTCCAAATAGGAAGCAATATATTATTGCTAGGAAAATTCATTTCCTTCCAGCTATGGTGACAATTGCAGCTCTGAGGATTCCTGCTCAGAGGGGAAAGGACTTCCAAGGGAAGAGTCAGATTACATCAATGGGCCTGTTATTAAAAATGAGTGCCAGCATTTTTCACCTTGGGCCCCAGGCTCTGCTAGAATTGCAGCGGGGCTTTGACTGATGCAGCCAACAGAAATTATGAACTGAAATAAATTATTGGCAGTGTTCTAGAGCAAGATACTTATTTTGTCCTAAACAAATGCTATTTAGATGAAACCTCCTTCCCTCACTTGATGAGTCTTGATGAGTGTTGAAAAGGCATTTAATTGACTGTACAGGTATCTAGGTGATAAGTGAGTGTGTTAAACCATTTCATATTAAGAACTTTCTGCTTTGAGGAAACCACCACAAGGAGTAACTTAAAGGGCAGAAACATCAAGTTTTTACAGGAGGGAGGCTGCCCTCAAGTGGTCGTGGAGGGCAGCATTTGGCTGTAGGCTGCACACCCCATGGGTACTGAAAACAGAAGTTTAAAATAAGAAATGCCATCCGTAGCTGGCCCAAAGTGTCAAAAGGGGAGTGTACACAAAAGGGGAGATAAAATGTGGTGGTGCTTTTGCATAGCAACATGATATTCTTATTTGACAAAGTAATACACTTGAGCAAAGTTGGTACACTTGGAAAGACAAGATTTCTCACTTTCCAAAAAGGGCTGAGCATAATTCTCTACCAAAGAAAAAGAACTAAATCACATATGAAATGCATACAAAACATGGAGTCGTTCAGCATAACAATTATTTATTTGTTTGCTTTATTTACAGGTGAGTTTTTTAAGGAAAGCAGAACAACATCCTGGGATTAACACATAGTGTTTTGATCTTAGCAAAAGTAACTAGAACTTCATGAGGGTTATGGAGACTGTGATGAAACCACATGAAGAGTGGAAGTGACTGGAAAAAAAACAGTAATAACCTCATCATTCTTATCCTTGCTAGATAATTTTCTGCATATTCTCTCTTGATTTGCATTGCAACTCCTTTAAGCATCTTATTGCCTGAGAGTCAATTACATCTGAAACAGACTAATTGACTGAGGCCACGCATTATATGTAAGCCTGAGAATGTCTCTCCTTAACTCGGGTGGGCTCTATACATGTTGAGGGAAATGTAATCAAATTCAGCTATAGATAAATGGGTTTATATATGAGGACACTTATACACAGTTCCCTATTTGGCTACCTAACAACGATTTATCAAGATAGATTTAGTTATCCATGCTGAAACAATTCCCAAAATGCACCAACTGCTTATACTTAGAAGGCTACATGCAGCAGTGAGCATAACAGTAGCTGAATTCTCACACTCATTCAGACACATACACACAAACATTCATCCATTCATTCTCAAACTCACACGCACACACAATCACCCAACATTCTTTCTTTCAGTCTCCTGCACACACAGGGAGAAGGCCCCCCTGCCCCCCCCACCCCCAATAAAAAGGCTTCTACCAGCCTATCAAACACCTGCCAGTGAGCTGGCAGGCAATTTACATTCTTTTACATGCACTCTTAGGAGCATGCAGGTCTCCTGGCATAGGAGGACTGCTGCAAGAAAAAGCAATGGCAGCAGGTCCTCTGGGAAGGAGTGGAGCTCAACTGAATTACACTCTGAAAATATGTATTTATACATTTGTGTATTTGTGTCTTTCCCATCTTTCCCCGCAAAATTCAGTTCAAGGCAGCTAACCATGATAAAATAAAAACTTAATTAAAACAGAACATTAAAAGGGTACATATGCAACTTCTGGGATTTCATTGGCAGATCATGATTCTTCAGCTAACATAAATTTGATTTGAAGATCTTTTTAGTTTTTGCCTTCAGCAGTCATGTTCTTTCGTCAGTGTGGGCTAATGTCCATCGATACGAGTGAGCGCTACTTCTTCTAGTTTTGTGGGTTCTTTCTGTTGTATTGATACCTTCTGTAGCTCGATTTGGAGACTTGATGACAAAGTTGTCCAGAGCCACAGTAATTAAGCAGAGGAGTGGCTAGAATCCATGTCCAGGGATAACCCTGCTGGTGCTATTCACAAATACTCACCATTCTGAACTTGAGTTAAACAATGGTATGAAAAGGAATAAGAATATTCCACTTCCGGGCATTAAGACAATCTGGGACTGGCCCCAAATTCCACTCGTGAATTGGCTCAGCTGGTGCATTGTGGCCCCTTGAGTGATGAGCTGCCATCCATTTTCCAGTGTTTTCACTACTTGCACTGGAAATGTAATGTTGGGACAGGACCTGATCAGAATACCACTGCTATTCTAGGCCTTTGCTGTCTGTGCATTTCCTGACAACTGGTCAGAAATCTAGCCCAGTCTCATGATCAAATGGCAGGTGCCCTATTCAGTATTGTGGAGTGATTAAGTAAAAACAAACAAGCAAAACATTTTCTGAACAAATGCAAATTCAGGTCAGTAGCTCTCCTCGCAAAGTTATAAGTTTCCCTATGGAGTATAGATCTTTGCAGCATCTTTGCAGCATTGGACTTTCCTTTCACCACCAGATACATCTGCAACTGAGTGGCCTTTCGGCTTTGACCCAGTGGCTTCATTCTTTCTGGAGCTACTAGTACTAGTCCTCGGCTCTTTCCCAGTAGCATATTGGACACGTTCCAACCTGAGGGGCTCATGTTCTGGCGTCATATCTTTTTGCCTTTTGGTGCTGTCCATGGGGTTTTCAGTGCAAAGATACTGGAGTGGGTTGCCATTTCTTTCTCCAGTGGATCACGTTTTGTCAGAGCTCTCTGCTATGACCTGTCCATCTTGGGTGGCCCTGCATGGCATAGCTCAAAGCTTCATTGAGCTACACAAGCCTCTTCGCCACAACAAGGCAGTGTTCCATGAAGGAGGGGGTGGAGATATTGTATCATATAGTGGAAATGACATTTTGTAACCTCAATGTTGAAAAGCAATTTTCTGCTTCCTCTCTATATACTAGGATGAGCTGCAATGGCATGTTTTGGGGTCATCATTCATCACTGGGGTCATTGTAACTTCTGGGATTTCATTGGTAGATCATGATTCTAGAGCTAACACAAACATCCAAAGTGGGAATGTAATTTTCAAAATTACAGTCCTTCCCCCTGACCACATTCAGTAACTCAAAAAACTGGAAGGAAAATCACTGCATTTTAACATGATATATTATAGTAGGGGACCCCAGACTTTCTAGATCTGTGGGTACATTTGGGAATTTGAGAAACTGCTGTAACTTCTTCCACAAAATGCCTGATCAGTGGTCACTGTTTTAGCATCTATCTGTCACATCTATGAATCATAAGCTGTGCCTTTTCAGCTAAAATGTTTGTTCTGCTTTCATTGGAATTGCAACATCTCTTTAAGAAGGAATTTTCCACCTTAGCTTATTGCTGGCAGTGGAACACTGCTAATGTTAATTTTAGCATGTGTTAAATATATAAACATATATTTTGGCAATGTCCACTAGTTGCTTATTACAAATTTTGTCCTTGAACAGTCTTTAATAGTCAGTCATTATTAATTTAATACTCTTTTAAATTATTTACCTGCTTTATGGAAATTAACAAATATTCATTATTACTGATTGAGCTCAGTGGCTTGTGCTAGGCACTGGAACCAAAGCTGTGACTCCACAGCCTAGGGGGCTTCCAAATTATGATTTGTAGAATAACTAGTAAGAGCAAATGATGCAAACAGCATTTTCTTCCTGTACTCACACCATTGCTGTAATTTGCATTTCAAATGCGAAAGAGCACATGCTCAGAGTGTTTCTTTTAACCAGAGTTGACAAACAGCTTTGTGGTTGTTGAAGCATACCAGGAATGTAGAAACATCTCTAAGGCATGGAACAGTGTTTGGGGGATAGTGTGACAAAGATAAATTTAAGATGTGTAATATTCGTGGCTCTCTGTTGGTGGCAGGGCTCTAAAATTAGTTAGCTGCACCACATATTGTGCCACTGATGTCACTCTACCCTTGCTATCAATTTCTCAATTCCTGTGCAAAAGGTTAGCCACCCCTTTAGTCTAGAAGATATAGCAACACAGGAAACTGTCACATTGACTAGCCTATATTGTTGACGCTGTTGACTATGTCCAAGAGTCCAAAAGGTCTCTGAAGTTTCAGGCAAGACTTTTTCCACCCTATCTGGAGATGTCAGATATTGAATTTGCACCTTTTACATGCAAAGCAAAGTAATCCTTCATTGAGCCAGAGCCCCTCCCCATGTCTACCTTCTAGTAGCTACCTGTTCTCACCTTTAAAGAAAAGAAATAACTTATGAACCTAGGAAAAGAAAGATATAACATAAGAACAGAGACCAGTGACCTATCCAGTCCAGCACTCTGCTTCCATAGAAGCAACCCAGCTGCCCACAGGCTGTCAAGCAGGATGGGTACAAGAGTTCTGCCTGCCCAAGATCCTTAGCAACTGGAGTACACAGGCAATCCACCTCTGATAACAGAGGCAGAACATAGCCAGCAACCAATGGTAATTTTCTCCTGCATCAATTTGTCCATTCTCCCTTTAAAGCCACCCAAACTGGAGTCTGTCACTACTTCCAGGGGCAGTGAATTCCATGATTTAATTATGTGCTATGTGATGAAGTACTTCCTTTTATCTGTCCTTAAGCTCCCACCAAT